CATCTCTTAGGAAAAATAATAAGAGAAAAAGGAAGAAAAAAAGAAAACAAATGCAAAACAAACTACCAACTGTGATCAAACAAGCTAGCATTAGCCTAGTAGTGTGTTAGGAACTGGCAATTTAACTACAAACCCTTCATCATGTGCTTCCGGTCTGAACTGTTGGGCTAGGAATACAGAGAACAAAAGGCTGAGACACACAACAGGACTAGCACTTGTGCCACACAGACCTGGGAGAAAGCTGTGGCCTGGCACTCTGTTAGGTAGCTGTATATGGTGTCAAGTCTGGGAAACACTGTCAGCCTTTTCTCTAATGAGAAAAATAATCTTAGTTCTAGCAAGATGATAAATGAGAATATGCTGTGTTCTTGGACAGCTGATATCTCTTAATCCTAAAATGCAATATAAATGTTTTACCAGCTTTTAAGCAGCGACTTGATTGAAAGGAACAAATTACAAAAATTAGTCATCTTTTACATACTTCCTTTAAATCTTTTTGAGGCCACTCTTCAACCCTATACATAAAATTTTAGACACAAAAGTGGTAAATATTATGGAAATTAGTAGAGAAATAAATGCAGAAACTAAGCATCATGCAGTTCTATGTGGTCATATTTTCTTTGCCTGTATTTAAGTTTTACATAGTCATTCTCTTCTCCAAAGATAGAGGCCTTGTCCTATAAGTAAACAATACATGAATGGTTTTTGAGTGAATGACAGGATTACTATAATTGGACACAACTGATTTTAAAGGGTGTATTTCACATTGACTGGCAACCCACAGACCAATATAAATGTGTTTTTTAGTTCCATATTGTTTTTATGAAAATCTGAGTCAAAACAAATTGAGAATTTACATTAAAAATTCAAACTTTTGTCTTCTTTCGAAAAATTAGTAAATTTATCCAATACCCAGCAAGACAACAAGTGGTTGTTCTTATTTAGAAGAGTGACTGAGTGTCGGCCTTCATTCTTAATAGCCAATGCCTATTCACCAGGTATTTTTTGAGTGCCTACTTTGTGTGCAAAGCATTAATGTAGTTGCTGAGAATACAGGGGTGAACAAAACAGACAAAAACCCTTGCCTTTGTGGAGCTTACATGCTATCAAGTTAAATAGGTAAAATACCAGCGATAATTGCTAAGGAGAAAGCAATGAAGGAAAGGGAATATGAAGTTCTGTGTGTATGGGGAGTAGGATTGAAATTTTAAATAATGGCCTCAACTGAGAACATAAGTTTTGAGTAAAGACCTAAAGGAACTTACAGAGCTTGCCCTGCAGGAACCTGGAGGAAAAGAATTCCAAGCAGCCTGGCTGGGTGTGGCNNAGGGCACATGCCCGGGTTGCAGGCTCCATCTCCAGATGGGGGCGTGCAGGAGGCAGTCGATCAATGACTCTCTCATCATTGATGTTTCTATCTCTCCCTCTCCCTGCCTCTCTCTGAAATCAATAAAGATATATTTAAAAAAGAAAAAAAAGAAAAGCCAAGCTGAGTGACAGCAAGTGGAAAGGATCTGAGGTTGGAGCATTTATGGCTTGTTTGAGGAAGAGTAAGGAGGCTGCTGTGTATTTGCTCTGTTTTTCTTACAGCAGAGAAATACTTCTGTCTCATATCTGTATCAAAGATCAGTACAGACCAAAAGGTCTTCATGTTTTAAGAACAGAAGAAAGTATGTCTCTGGGAAATAATGAATATTCCTAGGCAAAATGTATTTCTGATGAAAAGAATCTTCCTAAAAACAATTATAAATAAAACAGTGGCAGCTGTGACTAGTGTGCAGAAAAGATGCTGAAGGAAAATTTTAATGATGGGGAAACAGGATTACTATTTCAGCAGGCTTTGTTTTTGCATGTTCATAGAGTGATGCTGCTCTAATAGATTAAGTGGAAAATTTTCTCATACATCAAAACTTTTTACAGGTTTGAGTTTATAAAAAAGTGTCCACGAAGTGCATTAGGAATTGTTGGCGTGGATAAGTAAAGGCATTTGCAGATACGTATCTCAGTGAGACAAAGAACTTAGAGAACAGATTACATGAAAAAATGAAGTTAATTATTTGTGATATTTTCTGCTGCAGCTGACAGTACAGATGTAAAACAGTGGGATCTCTTATGTGGTGATTAGGTTCTAAAGTCAAAGAGTGGAATGTCAAAATTAGTCTGGAAAAGTCCCTTAGAAAGGTAATATGGATATTGTCTTATTAAGCCCAGCATAGCCAATTTTACTTGGAACCAGAAATCCATTTCCTCAGGTGAGCATCAGATGAAATAGTCTGCCATGTTACATGAACAAAACAAAACTTTTTTTTTAATGCTACAATTCCACTCAACACAGGGATGTAATCACAGAGTGAGAAGTACGAAGGGACGAAAACCATCTGGAAGAAGACCAGGTTCATATCTCTCATCTCACACTCAGTTCCTTGAGTGTGCAATGTTGCCCATACAGTGTAAAGTATTTCTTCTCTTCTCATCCAAGTAACTTTCAGGGAGATACTATTCAATTCTACTGTACCACTCAGTTGTTTGTACATATAGTTACTCACACAGTAAAAGTAAGTGCAAGTAGCATAAAGTATGATTATTCAATAAAAGATTCCTATTTCTCTGGAATGTTTCCCCTGTTCAAATGCTACTTAAACACTCATCAAGGGAAGCAATTACTGGCTTTATGCAATCTCTGTTATAGCTTCCAGAAGTGATTTTCAACCTTTTTCATCTCATGGCACACATAAACTAATTACTAAAATTCTGCGGCACACCAAAAAATATATTTTTTGCTGATCTCACACACACAAACAGGTATAAATCTGATTCATTCACACTGGACGGCTGCTGTTGTGTTGGCTATTGTCATTTTTTTATTTGACAGTCTAAGGGAAAAGAGATCAGTGCCCCTGACTAAATAGGTATTGCATGTGTTTTTATTTATTATTATTTTAAATTTATATTTATTGTTGAAAGTATTACAGATATCCCTCTTTTTTTTCCCTCCATTGATTCCCCCCCCCCGCACCCATCCC